TGCCCTAATTCGCGTTCATTTGCTTCTTTTGCCAGCGCAGTGACTCTGCCGAGCCGCCGATGGAAAAGTGTGTGTGTGCGCGCGTGTGTGTGCGTGTGTGTGTGTGTGTGTGTGTGTGTGCGTGCGTGTGTGTGTGTGTGTGTGTGTGGTGTGTGTGTGTGTGTGCGTGTGTGTCTGTGTGTGTGCGTCTGTGTGTGCGTGTGTGTGTGTGTGTGTGTGTGTGTTGTGTGTGTGTGTGTGTGGTGTGTGTGGGTCGGTGGGCGGGCGGGCGGGCGTGCGTGCGTGCGTGCGTGCGTGCGTGCGTGCGTGTGTGTGTGTGTGTGTGCCTGCCTGCCTGCCTGCCTGCCTGCCTGCCTGCCTGCCTGCCTGCCTGCCTGCCTGCATGCCTGCCTGCCTGCCTGCGTGCGTGCGTGCGTGCCTGCGTGCGTGCGTGCGTGCGTGTGAGCGTGCGTGCGTGCGTGCGTGCGTGCGCGTGCGCGTGTGCGTCTGCGTCTGCGTGCGTGTTTGTGTGTGTGTGTTTGTGTGTGTGAGTGTGTGTGTGTGTTCCGTCCGTGGTGATAGAAGTTGCCGGAACCTGAGCTTCCGGAGGACCCCGCCCCTCCCCTGGCGCACCAGGGGCAGCGCCAGAGGCGCCGTCAGAGGGGATCCAGCGCAGATCCAACAAGTTCGCGCGAACCTCTAGAAGTTCATGTTTCCAAGCCGCTTTCTCTCATCCCAAGTTGGAGCCAGTTGGGATGACGATCAAGAGGTGCTGGGGGGGCACGCAGCAGCGCTCTATGTTTAGTCATTCGTGTTACAGGCCTGTCCGTGGCCGTCGTCGTCGCCCTTGCGATTCTTTGATCATCCGCCCCAGCAGTTCTCCCAGCAGCAACAAGCTAGTGCCTAAGTTGCTCTTTAGCCTTGACCTCTTCGTCGTTCTACACTACCCGCCGCGCGGCGCAACGACCTCCTCCTCCTCCTCGGCCCCCCCCCGCTTCCGCCGCCAGTTCCTGCCTTACGCCTCCGACGCCGGCAGGGGCTGGCCGGATCCTCGAGTCCCGGCCGCCCCAGGGTCGCTTTTCAAGCAGTGGCCAAGCGTCCAGGCTTGCCTGTAGGCCAACCGAAGCATGTTCTAAGAACCTTTTGTCTGCCCAAAATTTGTTTGGAACATTTCTGGTTGAGACTGTCTTGTTTTAACACTTCGGGGTTGTGTTCTAAGAACCTTGCTATGTTTTTAGAACAGCTTCGGGTTCTAAGAACATGCCGTGATAGGCTTATAGGAATGCCGGGACGGTCGGTCCCTGCTCAAAATTTGACAGTCACTTCCCGCCATGCAGGTTGGGGCGCTCGGAAGACAGAAGTATGTCAGACATGGCGCGAGCGTGCCTATAATAGCTTGCCTCCTTCCAGGCACCATTCGATCCGATCCGATATCGATTCTGGCCAGGCCCGAGCCGATTCCGATATCCCGCGGCGATCCGGTTCGACTCGGTATTGGCATGGCCGATGCTGCGCATCCTTGCTCAGCTGATCCGATTCGAGTTTGACTCCGTGTCGAGACGGCCAGGTCCGACGCACACATCTATTCAATTCGTTTGTTCCCGATTCGATTCTGACTTGTCCTGCTTCCCCAGACATTCGAAGTTGCAAAGACTCAGCTCCCCAAAGGTCTGGATCCCTTCCCTGGGGTATGGCTTTTCGTCTTGAGTCAGTTTTTTGATGATCCCGGGGTAGATCCACAGATGCCGACAATTATTAGAAACGCGCCGCCATTGCGTCTTCCACGGCTCGAGGATGTCATGTCAGGGTGTTCCTGCTCCACTCCTCTTCCTTTTAATAACTCTTCCCTTTCGCTCCCAGAGGCCGGTCGAAAAGGGCGGACCGAACATTTCGTCTGAGAATTCTTCACCATGTGAGATCTTGAAACTTGATTTGGAGCGGATGGAGGTCGGGTGGTTTTCAAAATGCGATTCTCGCTTCGGCGCCGCGCACATTCGTTTTGAACATTGCAAGAGTTTCATGGCTGGAGGGCGGTTCCACTTCAATGTGTGGTTCTCGCTTTTTCGCCGCGTTAAGAGTTTGCAGCAGTTTCAAGGATCTCCACGGCCACTGTCCAAGATTTGGTGTTTTGGCATGATGTCGGACTGACAGGGCGCAACAGTAACGATGGTTCCTTGTGTTGAAGTCCATGGAATGGTGTTCCTTCGCGACTCAGGATCGTCAACACGCAACAGAAACGGTGATTCACGGCGTTGAAGTCCCAGGAATGGTGCCGTGGGATTTCAAACGGTCATCTTCCAACCGGGCCACCCCCTCAGTGAAAATTAACCCCTACTCGGACCTCAGACGAGGAAACTTGGAGGGAGAGTTGACTGTAATATCGTTGATGAGTCTTGGGTTTACACTTGCCTTCCTCCTCTTCCTCCTCGTCCTCCTCCTCCTCGTCCTCTCCCTCTTCCTCCTCCTCCTCCTCCTCCTCCTCCTCCTCCTCCTCTTCATTCTCCTCTCCTCCTCCTCCTCCTCCTCCTCCTCTACCTCTTCTTCCTCCTCCTCCTCCTCCTCCTCCTCCTCCTCCGCTCCCTTCTCTCCTCCGCCCCCTCCTCCTCCGCCTCCGGCCACCCCCCCCCATCCCCCTCTCCGCAGGAACCTGGGCGCGCTGGCGCTGCGGTCTGCAGGATGCTACGCCAGGCGCGGGGGGGGGGGGAAGGGGGTGCTCCGTCGAGGGAGCGAGCGAGGAGGCCTCCTCCTCCTCCTCCCTCGAGAGGAGGAGGAGGAGGAGGCGGAGGAGGAGGAGGCGGAGGAGGAGGCGGAGGAGGAGGAGACGCAGGAGGAGGCGGAGGCGGAGGAGGAGAAGGAGGAGGAGGAGGAGGAGGAGGAGGAGGCGGAGGCGGTGGAGGAGGAGAAGCAGGATGATGATGATGATGATGATGATGATGATGATGATGATGATGATGATGATGATGATGATGATGATGATGATGATGATGATGATGATGATGATGATGATGATGATGATGATGATGATGATGATGATGATGATGATGATGATGATGATGATGATGATGATGATGATGATGATGATGATATGCCCGCGCCGTGCAAAAAATCAGGATGGGAGGCGTTCGCCGTGTTCGACCTCTAGGGGCCCCTCGCGGGACCTCGGGGCAGCTAGAACATGGCTCTGGATGAAGAGCCGGTCCCGTGGAGAGAGTCGGTACTTCCAGGGACCGCGTACAGCGGGGGCAGGGTGAAGGAATGTGCCCAGGAGGCTGCGGACCCTGGGAGGTTCCTTATCTGATGAGGGCGGCGGTGGTATCCATGGCCGATCCGCGGTTTGAGCTCCACCTGCTTGCAGACCTTGGATTCCTTTTCCGCAAGTTCGTTGTCCCATTCCCCTGCCGTGTTGAACAAATCAGGACGTCGCTTGTCCGTGTTGTGCGCCCTCTCCCCGGCTCGCCTCGTCGCTCCCCTCCCCGCCTCCTCTTGCCAAGTCCTCCTCGTCCCTCCTGCTCGCCCTCTGCTCTTCTCCCCGTCCACGAAGTATGAGGCTGGTGGCGGTTCCGGCTTCGAGCTTGGCGCCATCATTGATTATCTTCGTCTTCCTTCTATCTGCATCCATTCCCCCCTTCCATCCATGACGACGAGGCGAAGAATAATAAGAACGGAAAGGCGATGAATGAAGCAAGAAAGAGTGAAGCACGGCGGAAGAGGAAGACAAATGGGAGCAGGAGGAGGAGGACGAGGAGGAGAAGGAGAAGGAGAAGGAGGAGGAAGCGGAAGAGGAGGAGGAGGAGGAGGAGGAGGAGGAGGAGGAGGAGGAGAAAGAGAAGTAGGAAGAGGAGCAGGAGGAGGAGGAGGAGGAGGAGGAGGAGCAGGAGCAGGAGCAGGAGGAAGAGAAGGAGGAGGTGGATGCGCGAGATGCGCGCGATGCGCGAGAGGCGGAATGCGCGGTGCCGACGCCCTCCCACCGCGCGCGCCGTCGGCGCGCGCGGGCCGCAGGGGACCCGGCACCTGCAGCGCTGCGCCCAGGGTCCCGTGCCCGCACCTCCTGCGCCTCCAGCACCTCCGGCGGTCCTGCACCTCCAGCGCCTCGTAGCACCTCCACCACCTCCTGTGGTGCCCTCGGGGTCCTGCACCTCCGGCGGTGTGCCCAGGACCCCCGCCCGCCGGCGAGCCTCTCCGGGTCCACGACCATGCGCCGCGCTGGCCGTCGCCAGGCCCTCGGCGCCTGGCGCGCCGCCCCGGCGCCGCACTGCCCTGCGGCTCGGGCCGCAGGCGCCAGTGAAGCAGGAGGGAAAGAAGCACACGCAGACACAGAAACACACGCACACACACACAGACACCATGAATCGTCGGCTCCCAGGAAAAGATGTGGGAACATATGGGAAGTGGGGGGAAGACGAGCACCCCGAAAATCTGGGAGAGAACGTGGGGAAGCGTTGTACTCGTGTCTGTTGATCGGTGCGTCCCTGGGCCCCTTCAGTGAGGCTGCTCGCCCTGCGGCCCCAGAGGTCCCGACCCCTTCCCCGGGGGCAGGTTCGCGCCCCGGGTGCGTTTTGGATGGTCTCGGGCTTCTCGGGGCCCGATCATAGCGGGCCCTAGAGGCCGAGGTCGAGGAGGTGCGCACGGATTGAAACAAGGCATGCCGGCGGTGATCTGAGAAGTCTAGGCCTCCTGGATGGGATCCGAGTAGATGGGGTCCGAGGATCGCGCCGCATGGCCGATGCATCGGCGATGCGGCTCAATGTGGAGACCGCGTAATTTCCCCGCGCCGACGTCGCCGACGCACCACCGACGTCGCCGATGCATCGCCAAGGCATCGCCGGTACAGCGACGAGGCGGTGGTGATGCGGCGCCATGCTCCGAGCCCATCCACTCGCACCCCATCCAGGAGGCCTCTAGGGACGGCGGCCGCGGCGGCGACCACGGCGACGACTGGCGGCGGCCGGCGTTGCGGCCGGCGGCGGTGGGCGGCCAGCGGCGGGCGGTGTTTCCTTTTGGCGCGCCGGGGCCGGGCGCAGGTCGGACTCCGCGCCGCCGGTGGCGCCGCTGCACCGCAGGCCGCCAGCGGCCGCGCCACGAGCTCCTGCTGCGCGCTGTGCTCGGGTGGAGTTTCCGACTTTTGCGGTCCGGGACGCCGGCCTCTAGCCTAGAGCCTGTCGCTCCGCCGAGTCTGGCCCTCTGCTCAGGCAGTGGCGAAGCGTCCCGGCTCGCCTATAGCCCTACCAAGCAATGTTCTAAGAACTGTTTGTGGTTTCTACGAAATGTTCTTCGATCATTTCTGGCTGGGACTGCCTTGTGTTAACACATCGGGTTAATGTTCTGAGAACCTTGTTTATGTTCTTACAACATTTTTGGGTTCTAAGAACATTTCGTGGTAGGACTATAGACTATAGGACTGCCTGGACAGTCGGTCCCTGCTCAATCTGCGCCTCGGCGCGGCGCGCCTTCCGGGTCCTCTCAGTCCCGAGGCCTCAGCGCTGCGAGTTCCGAGCAGCGGACACGCCGGCCGCTCACGCTCGCAGGGCACAGCGTGTCGCCAGGGCCGCCGCCACGATACGCGGAGCCGGCGTTTCCAACCGCGAGCGTGCGTCGGGGCTTCACCCCACACGGCGCGGAGAAGTAGGGGAACAAAGAGTGGCATAAACATAAAAACTCGGAGGTCCGCGCGGATTTCGCGCCTCGGCGCTGGGGCCCCCCGGCGGCGCCTCTGGCGCCGCCCCTGCCGCGCTCCGCGCGCCAGGGAGGGGGGTCCAGCGCCGATCCGAGAAATCCGCGCGGACCTCCGAGTTTTTATGTTTATGCCACTTCTTGTTCCCCTGAAGAAGTAGGGCGGAAGTCCCTGCCCCCGAGGAGTAGCGTTGAGTCGGGCCTGTCCCTCTACATGAGGAAAAGCCACAAACATAGTGAAACAATAGTCTGGGGACGACTTCTTCTTAGTATGTTTTGACAATGCTGGGGCATGTGTTTACTGTTTTGAACTTTCCGTCCAAAAGCCCCCTGTAGGAGGACAGGCCCGACTTACGAATAGCGCGGATAGTTTCGCAGAGGCATTGCGGACACAACGACGGCAATGTGGGGCGGACATCGACGTCGAAGGAGCCTGAAGCGTAGGGCGGGAATCTCCGCCGAACTTGCGAAACATCGCCCAGAGTAGGGCGGATCCGAAGTCAGGGAGGCACCTCTCCCCAGATTTCCGACGATATGTGTTTTCAATCTGGGCGTCTTTTTCTTGATCTCGGCCTCCAGGGCCCTTTAGAGGGCCGCAGGGATATCAAAAACAGGTCTGGGACGAAAAAGCATCCTTCCAGAAGGGGTGGGGATGTCTTCGGCCACACATGGGAAAACATATCAGAGGGTGTCTGGGAAAATTCGGGGTTAGAGATGTTCGGAAGCCTTCGTCGGCTCTTAGCTATTGTGAAGGCCTTGCGGCCGGTGCCGCCGATCCTTCAGGGGGACGACGACTACGACGGCGGCGGCGACGACGACGTCGACGTGGGCCAGACGCATGTTGCTTAGGGTCTCTTCGGAAAGCTTTCGGGGGTCTCTGGGGAGGAATTCTGGGGCCTCTTGGGAGCCGACTGGGAACCTCTTGGGAACCTCTTGGGAGCCTCTTCGGGCCACTTCGGGCTTCCTGGGGATCTCTGTTGTGGACCTCTCGGCGCCTCTTTGGAATCTCTCGGGGCCTCCTGGGAGCCTCTCGGGGACGAGAGCTCAGATTTTCCCTTCGTGCCCCCTGGCTGGGCACGCTTTTGGAGCCGCCTTGGGTGCCTCCTGGGCCGTCTTGGAGCCGTTGTGGGGGTGTCTTGGGGGAGGAGGAGAAAAACGAGGAGGAGGAGGTGGAGGAGGAGCAGGAGAAGAAGGAGTAGGAGTAGGAGTAGGAGTAGGAGTAGGAGTAGGAGTAGGAGTAGGAGTAGGAGTCAAGCTAGCCAGCTCGAGCGAGTCAAGCATGGCATGCCCAGTCCCACCCGCCCTCCCACAACATAAGAAGCAAAGCTGGCACAACTGGGGGCCGAAGTCACACCGGCCAGCCGGTTTGGTACAGCTGATGCGGCCGCGATGGCGGTTGCCGACGGGAACTGGCGAGCGCGTGTTGAATGCCGCGCACGCATTGCCAGACGAGTCGAGAATGGCCCGGTACACCGCAGGAAGCCAGAGGTGGCCGTGTCGAGAACGGCCCGGCAAGCCGGGTCCCATTCCTGCCATGCATTTTGCGACGTGGACGACAGGACGTCCATGCGACGGTGCCAATGACGGCGACGACTCTAGAAGGATTTGAGCATGCGCTCGCGGCGACGCGCGCGCATGTCGCCCGCGTGGTATTTTTTGCACAGGATTCGCGGCCTGGGTGCATGACAGAGCATCGCGAGTGCACCGCGCGATGACGTGAAATCGCTGGATGTGACCGAATTCTTAAGATTCCTATTGTTTTCCTATGATTTCAGCAAGAGAGCCCGGGCAGGAAATGTGTAGAATTTTGTGAAAAAAACATTGGGTGTTTGATGTTTTTATGTTGAAATGCTTGCAAACACACGGTGTTCGGTAGGATTCTGACATGAACGCGCGCGTGTGTTCTTTGTGGTATTTTTTGAAATGGATTATCGCCGTGGACGACAGGACGTCCATGTCGAGAGGAACAAAATAAGAAAAATGTTCATTTCGTATTGTTTTTTACAGGTTAGGATGGGACCACCCGGATGGGGCCCCTATCTGCCGGCCTGAGGGGGGAGTAGGAGTATATTCTAATACGGAATAAGGATAGGAGGGAGGAGGAGGAGGAGGAGGAGGAGGAGGAGGAGGAGGAGGAGGAGGAGGAGGGGGATGGGGGAGGAGGACGAGGAGGAGGAGGAGGAAGAGGAGGAGGAGGAGGAGGAGGAGGACGAGGAGGAGGAGAGGAGGAGGAGGAGGAGGAGGACGAGGAGGAGGAGGAGGGGGAGCCGTCTTGCAGCGGCGGGGAGCGAAAAAGGCGAGGACGCCCACATCCTGAACAGACCAAGAAGAAATCACTGAGTTTTGCCTCGTGGGGTCCTTCTCGGGAGTGCTCTTGGAGGCCTCTTAGGACGTTTTGGAGGCTTCCTGGGCAGTCTGGAGGGCGTGAGGGTGTTTTGGACCGATCGATTGGCGATTGGAGGCTCTCTCGGACAGCGTCGGGCTCAGGAGCCTCCTGAGGCCCCAGTTGGGGTGCGAATCTGACTTCCCCCCTGGGACCCCCCCGGGAAGCCTCCTTTCGAGTCACTCTTGGCCTGTCTTGGTTCTTTCTGAGCCCCCGACCCCCCCTGGGACCCCGCTCTGGGGACCCCCCCTGGGACCCCCCCCGAGACCCCCCCCCTGGGACCCCTTCCCGGGAACTTCTCTCCCCTCCAAATGGGGAGGGATCAAAGGGAAGGGATTTCCCTTCGACTCGATTACGACACATTGCTAGATCTTTCTTTCGCGCTGACAGGCCTGAGGACAAGGAGGAGGGCGCAGGGAAGGTGGACGCCGGAGACAACGACTGACGGAGACGACAACTCGAAGAAGACTCGACCAGATCAGAAACGAGAATCCGCATTGCGCGAATGTTCGTATCATGCGGCCAGTCTCGCGGATCGAGGGGCCGTGTTCATGTACATAGTTGGGCGCGTACGTCCTTTGTGGGCTCCCTAACAGACAAACCCCTCACACACGCCGAGAGGGTCGACGGATTGTCCAACCCCGGGGGTATACATTCCAGCAGTTGCGCCTCGCCGAGAGCGTTCTGCGGGGTCCCCCCGAGCCGTTCCGAGGGGCCGCCGGGAAGACACGAGCGGTGACCCGAAAGCCGCCAGAGGAACCACGAAGGGATAGGGGTCCTGGGGGAAGAGAGTCTCGAGGTTGTTCGCCGCTTTCGGACCATCGGAGCCCCCTCCTCAGGAACGGGTGGCCTCAAGAGAAGAAACCAGGATGGAGAGCTGGTCCTGGGGTACGGCCCTGGGATCCAGGACCCGCTCGAGCGATTCCATGAAGACGGCGGTGCCGACTGTGCCGACCCTGGCGCGTAGGCTGCCCGCGCGAGGTCGCGCGCAGGCGCCCTCGTTTCCAAGGTCGCGTGCCGCGCTGGCGGCCCCATCGTAAGCTACCGCGTACTTAAGACCCGTTTCTTCTTCTTCCTCCTCCTCCTCCTCCTCCTCCTCCTCCTCCTCCTCCTCCTCCTCCCCCTCCTGCTCCTTTCGCCGCCCATGTCTTCCATGCCAGCAGGGGTGGGGGGAGGCTTCGGCGCAGATTGCCTCTGCGCCCTGCGCCGATGGCCGCCACGGCCCTTGCCGCCGGTCCTGTTGCCGAGGGGGTCGTGGTCGTGGTCGTCGTGTGTGGTCGTGGCCGTCGCCGCGTTCGTGGTGGTGGTCGTCGCCGTGATCGCGGCCGTCGTCGTCCTGGTGGTGTGCCCACCTTCGCTGTGCTCGTCGCCGTCTTGGCCGTCGTCGTCGCTGCGCTTCTCGTCGCCGGCGTAGTCATCATCGTGGTTTTTTGGTCGTCTTCGTCGCCGTCGTCGATGTGGTCGCGGCTATAACCGCGGTCGTCGTCGTCGTCGTGGTCGTCGAGGTGGTGTTGGCCGTCGTGGTCGTAGCCGCCGTCGTTGTGTGCTTCGTCGTCGCGGTCGTTGTCGTGGTCGTCGTCGTCGTCCGCCTCCGCGTCCTGCTCGTCCTCCTCTCCCCCCCCCTCATCGCAGCCTTCTCCTGCTCCTCCTCCTGCAGGGGGCGGAGGACGAGGAGGTTCTTCACCTCGGGACGAGGAGGGGAGGAGGAAGAGGACGGGGAGGAGGACGGGGACGGGGAGGAGGACGTCACGAGGAGGAAGAGGACGGGAAGGAGGACGAGGAGCTTCCTCACCTCGGGACGAGGCGAGGCACCCTGTGCTTTTCCAGCCCTCGGGCCGCAGAGTGGAGAGGCGCGTGCCGCGTGTGAGGCTGCCTCCACACCCTCCCCTTGGCAGGCCGTGCGCGCGGGCCCAGGAAGTGGGCACCACCACAGAGGTCGAGAGCCGTGGGCGAGCCCTGCGCTCTGCGGCTCCTGCATCCTCCTCCCTCCTCCTCCTCCTCCTCCTC